TTTTTGTTGAATATGATATGGTAAGCATAAGTATAATGTTATATATTTTGTAGGCTGGAAAGGGAATTGGATTCAAACCATATTTTGTTAATCGTAAATCGAGCTTGCTGCTCAAAATGGTTGTTGAACTAATCGGAGAGCTTATTGTGAATTATATTGTTGTTGTTTGGGCTGTTTGGTAAATTTTGGTAACATATGGGATGTAATACAAATAGGAGAGGTGCTGTCCATTTTCTTGTAGAATATTGGTTTCCAAATATGAGAGTTACAATGCTTATATGATTACGACAAAGTCGGTTTACTCATTGTAGACGTAAGAAGGTCATATTGAGCTTGCTTGACGATTGGATAGAAGATTTCAAAGGTATGTTAAGGCACTTCCTTATTTCTTTTGGCATGATCTAAAGTGAAATGAATAAGCTATTTCATAATGGATCTACTCCTAGCAACTAAGGTTGTCCATATTATTCTTTCCATATAAAGTTATTATAAGCAAGTGTGTATGATCCTTGAATCCTACTGAGGTTCATATTGAGGGTATGAATGTCCATAATCTTAATCGAAGGTGCAATGACCTTAAGTCATTCCAAAAGGTTTAGAACGTGATTCCATGAGTCTACCGTGCATGTCGCGCTATAGTCGGTCGGGTATGGCACCTATTGTGCAACCACTGATCAGTTGGATTTACCGAGCTCCACGTGGCCGGGTACGATTCTACCAAGCCTTATGATGGCTGGGTAAATTTTTACCGAGTCCTCTTTGAGGTCAGGTACGATATAATGATGATGATGCCCACAGAGGCGTATGTTTTTAAAAGTTTATGTATATATATGTATTATGCATTTCATGTTAGTAGCCCCCAGAGGAATTCAGATGTTACAGGTTGTATCTCCTCTATCTCTCTTTACATTACTATTCTTATTTATGCGTTCCTGCCTTACATACTCGATACTTTATTCATACTGACGTCCCTTTTGCCTGGGGACGCTGTGTTTCATGCCCGTAGTTCCCAATAGACAGGTTGACATTACTCCTAGTAGGCTATCAGCTTAGCGGAAGGTGTTGGTGCACTCCACTTGCTCCGGAGTTGCCTATTTGGTTAGTATGATTTGGACATGTATTGATTGGTATGGCGGGGCCTTGTCCCGACCTTTATAATGTGTATGTAATCTTAGAGGCTTGTAGACATATGTCATGTATATGAAAGATTGTATGGCCTTATCGGGCTATGTTCAATGTACGAGTGTTCATTTCGGTCTTAGGACTATAAGTCACATGTATAAGTTTCTACATCATATTGCGTCGTCCTATGTCTAGTATTCCTTTATATTTTATTGTGGTTATATCATGGCAACACTTTTGGCCCATTTACCAATGATACTATGATAAGAAAGATAAGTTACGTTGGTACTCAGTTGAGTAAGGTACTGGGTGCCCATTGTGGCCCTTCGGTTTGGGTCGTGACACCCTTAGGTTTGCAAATCGGCCTTGAGGCTTGTTGGGCTAGCTCGTAGGCTCTTACGCATTTGCCCTTAGGAATTTTTAGTTGATTGTTTTGGGCTAAGTCTCCGAGTCATATTTCGACTTGAGCTTATTGACCCTTAAGTTTTTAAGCTGGCTCTTAGGCTCTTACGCGTTGGGTCAGTACGACCTTTAATTTTAAGCTGCGGCAGTGGCTCTTATGTATTGGGTTGGTACGACCTTTAATTTTAAGCTGGCGATAGTGGCTCTTATGCATTGGGTCTGTACGACCTTTAATTTTAAGCTGGCGATAGTGGCTCTTACGCATTGGGTCGGTACGACCTTTAATTTTAAACAGGCGACAGTGGCTCTTATGCATTGGGTTGGTACGACCTCTAATGTGGGCTTTATTTTCCCTTGCTAAAGACTTTTTGAAGTTTTTGTGTTCGCCCGACTCTTCGACGGCTCGATAAGAGCCTCGATTGTGAGCTGTTATGTAGCAATAAATGAGCACCTCGAGAGGTTTCGCTCGATGTCTGAAATTATTTCGAAGCCTGTTGTTTGGAGCTGATATGATCGAAGCTCTTTTGCTTATGCCGAGGGTAGCCTAATTAAACGGTTCTTTTCGAAGTTTTTTCGAAGTAGTTGAAGGCCTGTGATTTTAAAGTGATAGTCGGGCGTCCCCGAGTCGCATGAGTTTGGCCGGAGCCTTGTGACCAGAGTCATTGCGCTTGGCCATAGCCTTTTAGTCCCCGAGTGAAGTAGTTTCGGTGTTTATATCGAGGGTATACCTTTTTAGGAGTCTTACAAGTTCGAATATATAGCCTTAACTTTAAGATCGGGATGATGCCTTTTTGCAAGGTCTTATAAATTTTAACATGCCTTACTGGAGGTCTTACAGATTTGGTTACTTGGTACAAGTATAATTCACGCCTTGCTTGAGGTCTTACAAATTTGATTACTTGGTACTAGTATAGTTCACGCCTTGCTTGAGATCTTACAAATTTTGTATTGCCTTATGAAGGTCTTATGAGCTCGAGGTTGCTCGTATGGGGTCTTATAGCTTCAGGTTTTTGACAAATCGATGGGGGTGATAGTTGGCGACAGTCCCCGAGTCATCGAAAGTTTCTTGGCTCTGGAGCCATTCCTTGTAAACTTGGTATTGCCTCATTGAGGGCTTATGAGTTCAGAGTTTCCGACCCGGAGGTCGTGTGGCCTCGAGTTTTTGGCGCCAGTCCTAGAGTGTTCGGGAAATTTCTGGCTCTGGAGTCGTTTCTTGTAAAAGTAGCATACTTTTTTGAAGCGCAAAGCATTTTGATGGAGGGGAAATATTCTTCCATTATTTGGTACAAGTATAATAGTTTTTGCCATCAAAGGCTCAATTATTCTATGCGGACACAGTTCATTTAACCGTTTGGCCCGATACATTATTTTCCTATTGAGACCCTTTTTGGCTCATCTTGACTTCTTCGAGAAGGTGATCTTCCGGGGGGATGCCCCCCAGTGTTCGAGGTTGATTTAAGAGAAGCCTTGAACACTTGTGAAGTTCTCCTTAGGCAACATATAGATGTTGCCTCGTTAAAAACCTTGTCGGTAAAACCCTTCTTGGGATAAAACCCGATCGAAGGAAAAGAGTGCAATGTATGCTTTGAAACCTTAAGGTCTTCGAGCTGGACAGTGCTTCGACTGTTCGGATCGGACACATGCTCAAAGGTTAGTGTAAGATGTAAATAAAAAGGGAGATGGTTATACCTTAGTGGTGATGGTGCTTTGAGCCTCGATATGTTTCAAATGTTTTCTTTGGGGACACAGCACGGTCCTTTGCCTGATTTATTTGGGTGTAGCCGAGAATGTATCTCATGATTGCTAATTCACTGTTTGCTTATCCTTTGGCTCCTTCGATGTTGGAGGCATTGATGTCGGTGCCATATCATGCACCGCGAACATTTCCCTCGCTGCATGTTGTTCCTCATACACGGTTTTTGTTCCGTCCTTCGTCAAAAACTTCATCATTTGATGAAGGGTTGATGGTACTGCTCTCATACAGTGTATCCATGGCCTTCTGAGCAAGGCGTTGTACCTCATGTCTCCTTCAATGACATGGAAATTGACATTTTGGGTCGTACCGGCCATGTTGACCAGGAGGGTGATTTCCCCTTTTGTTGTTTCGCTTGCCATGTTGAATCCATTGAGGACTCAAGAGGCGGGCACAATCTAGTCGAGCAGTCCGAGCTGCTCCACCACCCTCGACTTGATAATGTTGGTCAAGCTACCTGGATTCACAAGCACACGCTTAATTTGAAATGTATTCACAAGAAAAGTAATTTCCAAGGCATCGTTATGAGGTTGAGATAGGGTCTCGGTGTCCTCGTCGTTGAATGTGAGAGCATCTTTGGGTATGTAACCCCGAGATCGCTTCTCCCTAGTGATGGATATTTTCGTTCCTTTGACAATGGGTTCCTGCGGGATGTCGATTCCTCCAACGATCATGTGGATGACATGTTGCGGCTCATCTGTTTCATTCTTCCTATTCGCCTCTCTTTCTTGGAACTGATTTTTGGCTCGGCCGCTAAGGAACTCTCGGAGGTGCCCTTTGCTGAGTATCTGGGCTACTTCTTCTCGGAGTTGTCTGCAATCTTCGGTCCTATGACCATGTGTGCCATGAAATTCGCACACTAAGTTAAGGTTCCTCTGCGACGGATCTGATAGTACAGGTCTTGGCCACCCAATATCTCTGATTTTACCGATGGCAGATACGATGTCTGAAATGTCAACGTTGAAGTTGTATTTCGACAGGCAGGGTGCCTCCGCCGGTCTTGTGTGTCTGTCGAATCAGGCTCTGCTCACGAATCCCCGAGGATTCTGACCTCAATCTGTCCTTCGATCATTTTGGGGTATTTTACGCCTTGGGGCGTTTCTCCTATCTTCGGTGTATGGTTGGTACCTTTCCTTGTTTGGCTTTGGCACTTTTGCCAGGAGTCTGCTTGATATACCGAGCCCGAGGGAGCTCCCAGTTGGTCGTCCTCGACCCTAATCTTTGACTGATATTGGTTGTGGACATCCGACCAAGTCACGGTGGGATATTCAACCAAATTCTACTTCAGCTGCTTCGAAGCCGCCGAGCTTTGTTCATTCAAACCTTGGGTGAAGGCTTGTACTGCCTAGTCATCGAAGATTGGTGGTAATTCCATTCACTCCATTTGAAAGCGAGATACGAACTCCCGAAGCATCTCGTTTTCTCTTTGTTTGATTTTGAAGACAGTCAGATTTCCTTGTAGCCACCTTGATGGCACCATCATGTGCCTTTATGAAAGAATCCGCCAGCATGGCAAATGAATATTGAATTCGGAGCTAAGTTGTGATACCACACCATGACCCCTTTCAAAAGTGTTTCTTCGAACTTTTTTAGCAGGACGGATTCGATCTCATCGTCCCTCAGGTTGTTGCCTTTCACCGCACAAGTGTAAGCAATGATGTGCTCGTTGGGGTCCGAGGTTCCGTTGTGCTTTGGAAGATCGGGCATTCTGAATTTCTTCGAGATGGGCTTTGGAGCGGCATTTGACGGGAATGGCTTTTGTACGAATTTCTTTGAATCAACACCCTTCAGGATCGAGGGTGCGTCTGGGATCTGGTCGACGCTTGAATTTTAGTTTTCACTTTTTTGTCGTTAGCTTCTATCATCTTTTCACCCGATTCAATCCTCTTTGTGAGGTCCTCGATCATCTTCATAATAGCGGGGTCGGCTGCTGACCCATTGTTACTCGATCTTTCCGGTACCTATTCGGCTTGAGGGGCCATTTCCGGTGCTGCTATGATTGGAGTTTTTTGGTGGCTTTGCAGTTGAGAAATCGCCAGTTGTTGTGCCTTTAACATCTCAAAAATAACGTGAAGGCTAACCTCTTGTTCTGCTCGCGCTGGAATTTCCTGAGCTTCGTGTTGGTTTTCCACTACTACAAATAAAACCTTTAGCAGCAATACAAAATGGCTTTAGCGACAATAATAATAGACGCTATATCTTTTACCGGCCATTAGTCTTTTGCCGCTGAAATTGGGGTCGTCAAAGCCTTTAGCGGCTATTCTCGTAAAAGCTGGTATTATCTTTAATGGCAATTATTTGCGGCAATTATAATGGCTACTAAATCTAATCCAAAACGGCTAATTATACTTCTTTAGCGTCCATTATTATAGCCGCTACATTCAAAATAATTGTCGCTAAAAATCGCATCTTTAAGGGCAATTGTTGTGGCAATTATAATGGCTACTAAATCCAATCCAAACGGCTAATTATAATTCTTTAGCATCTATTTTTTATAGCCGCTAAATTAAAAATAATTGCCACTAAAAGTTCACATCTTTAATGGCAATTATTTTGTAGCAATTAAAATGGTCATAATATCCCTTCTGAAACAATCTTAGTTTGCCCTTTTAGCTTCCATTCTAATGGCTAATATGTTTAACTAAATTGCCGCTAAAAGTCAATATCTTTAACGACAATTATTTTGCATCAATTATAAATATTTTAGCCACAGTTAATAATAGTTACTACATTCGTACAGAATATGACTCAAATAATAAAATATATTAATATTAATTCAAAAAAACATAATGTATCTCATTAATCTTAACAAACAAAAGGGAGTACTAATCGAAAACATTAATATCACAGTAATTTAAAAAATAAAAAATATATTGTTTAGATTAAATAGCTAATGTCATTATATAACTAATCCAGACGAATGATGGTCTTCAAATGATTTCTGCAACTTTTCATCATTTTGAAACCTTTCACCAGCTAAATTATTCAACATCAAACAGTATGACCTGAAATTATAAAATAATTGTGTCAAAAGATAAGTATAATGTGAAAAAACATCTTGAACATTCCATCACTATTAGAGTAGCCAACTCCCTCACCTAACATCTATAAGCAAACACAACTAAGTTAAAATATGAACATTTCAATCAAATTGATTAGAATCCAAACTTCAACAACTACCTACTGAAGCTTTTAGGAAAAACAGTTTGATTCTTCAATCCAACAATCTTCTTAGCAGCAGATAGTCGAATCAACACTCAATTCAAACCAGAATTCAATCAAGAAGCAAAACTGAAAATAGGAATTAAACAAATGTTTTGCAAAGTGCAACTAAACGACAACAGCATATGTAGATGACAACATATGTAGATTGCCCCAACCACAATAAAGAAGAGGAAAGCCTCATATCAAAATAACAACAGCAGCATCTAAATGACAACAGCATCTAAACAACAGCAGCATCTAAAGATGACAACTTGCCAGATGCAACACTTGAGAAAACTTACTACACTGGTTAAACATAGTGGCTATCTTCTGCAATCACTTAAAAAATCACGGTTAGTCACTGTTTATGCATATTTGTAGCATTAAAAGTTATCTGGTTCTGAAAAAAATAAGAATGTTTTATACTATATGTTTGTTTCCTTTCAGAAAATCAATACAAATATTATATCTAGAGAAGATTCCACACTATTTTTGTGTGCATGTCATTCTTACAAATTATGAACCAGACTAATGTTTTCTTGACTTCCCATTTTTTGTCCAGAGCTTGCATCTACAGGGGAAAAAAAGTGGTATTTTTACCGTCCAAGGGACCATAAGTACAGGAACAGCGCCCATCCAAACCGTGTTACAGGAGCTAGTTTTTGGAAGGCTACTGGAACTGACAAACCAATATACTCCTCTGATAGCACCAAATGCATTGGTTTGAAGAAGTCCTCAGTCTTCTACAGAGGTAGAGCCGCTAGAGGCATAAAAACTGACTGGATGATGCGCGAGTTTCGTCTTCCTACAACTAATATTGAGTCAGCACAACCTAAGAAATTCTTGGATAGAAATTTTCCAGCAAATGTAGGTCCACATCCTGCAGGTGGTGATATTAAGCAGATTGCAACCAAAAAACAGCAGTCAGATATGATTGAGGTTTGTAGTCTCCTTCAAACATGATTAATTCAAGACTTGCTCTACTCAGCTAAAGAAATCCCAGACTCACAGCAGACTGCACTAGCAGTAGAACAAACACTATGAATGTTGCACACTTTGCAGGCTACCGGCACATGTTGCTAGTTTGGGTCCCAATATGTATCAAAAGAGCCATTGCGGTATTTGCAATTATCAGTTCTGTACACAAAAGTACAGGCAGGCCTTTTATTCTGTGATGAAAGAAGGAATTAATTAATTGTGGGGGGTTAAGCAACAACAACAAACCTAGTGTAATTCCACAAAGTGCAGTCTAGGGAGGGTAGAGTGTACGCACACGTTGCCCCTACCGTGTGAAGGTAGAGAGAAATTTTTGTTAGACTTATAAAAAACAACATTGAGCCACATTATAATTGTGCCGTCCTGAAGATAGTTTAGTTTTTTCTCTAAGTTCTACTCTTCTGATATAAACAATATCTGCTTTCACAAGTCAATATTTTATGAATATCACAAATGGTTTTGCTCCCCACTAAGTTCTTTTACTACTATCTAAGACTTGTATAAGTGGTCATTGGTTGTGTAGGATTATGTGAACTGTCAAACTCAAAGATAAGCATGTTAGAAAACTTATAGGCCTTTCTTTTAGCATGCTTATCTTTAAGTTTGGTAGTGCACTTAATCCTATGCAACCAATTGGGTGCTTATTTAACGATCTTTTATCATCTGATGCAATCATAGCGCTTATCCCTTCATGTGTATGCACATGCGTGTAGCAGCAGTATATGGTACATACATCTTAAGCTCTTTCCATGTGAAAGATAATTTAGACTCTCTTTATCAGGCAAACTAGTGTATCTAGGAGCCTCTTAACTCCAAATCATCACCAGAACATGCTCCAATCTGTTCTTCCACAATTTATACAGAAGTATCTGATCCTCCTATGTAGTGCTTGAATGTGTTATTTTATGCTTATATTGATTTGAATACTGCGGCTGAGTTAGAAGAAGGGCTTTATGTAAAAGTAGAAATGCATACAGGTATTCACAGCTGAGTATCCTCTAATATGTAAAATCTTCGAGTACAAAAAGCCTTATATCAGCTTCATGGATGGCGTTACAATGGGCTTTGGAATTGGTTTATCTGGTCATGGTCGTTACAAGCTTATCACAGAGGTACTTCTCTACGTCTATGGAGGATTACTCGTTTATGCAAGTACATCTTATTTACACGATCACTGCATTTATATTGTCACCAGAATTGACCATCAGCAAGTCATATGAAATGAAGATTTCAAGTGACAAGCTAAAAGCACACAATCGTCTAACATGACAGCTCAATTAGCTAATACAGTTACACTGAGATGAACTTTAAAGTTTAAAAGTGCAGTATATGCACTTGTGTCCACTCGTGTTTAAAAGTGCAGTATACTGCTGAGATGCATGTAAATACTTCTAGTCATTGATTCGAATTATTGTACGATATTCTTTATAAAGTTTAGGTCCTCCAATTACTCTTAAATACATCATCAGATAAGATATTTCAAGAGCTTCCACCATAATAGCTTGTTCCTATGGATATATAACTCCTGGTAAGTACATTTCTTTAAAATTTTCACGCAAAAACATCATTCATCCCTTGAAGAGGTCAAATATTTAGATATCTCATTATAACAGATATTTAGATATAACTTTGCTAAGTGCTAAACATTTTACATAACATTATGCTAGTACTCTTGAAAGAAAAGCTACAACTGCAATCTTGGACAATATGCTACTGGGAATATGATGGGATATCAAGAGAACAAGCATGGATCGCACACGAAAACTGGAAAAACAATAGCGACGAAGGACAAAGATGAGTAGTACCATGAGAAGGCTGAGCATTTTCAGCAACACTAGGCATCTTTGATGTTTGTGGTACTTGTTCATGTCCACTATTGGCATCAGGGATCTAATAAATATTAACATGTTAGATAACAATACTTTTATATGATTAAAATTTCATTAAAAATGTCTAAAGCTTAAGAAATAGAGTTACCTATTCACCTGAGGTCCCATTGCTACTTTGAAGTATAGATGCATCAGGAGCATATTTGCGCATATGTTGTCTCATTTGGAGTAATTCTGATTGCATCATCTCCTAATTTTGTTTCATCATATTCATTTCTTCATTTTGTTTCTCTTTTAACTCGATTATCTTTTGTTCTAACCTTTGTATAACCTCATTAGAAGAATCATCTGCAATAATATTTCCTAAGGAAGACCTACTACCCCAGAGAATAGAAGGAGTTGGACCAAGTCCAAAACCACGAACATACCACCTTTTTTCATTTCCCAACACCTGAGAATACACATCCCCTTCACAAGCAACACTACGAGGAGGTTGCTCAGTAGATCTCTCACTATTGTCCATCCTTTCATTTATCATTTCCTGACCATAGAAGATACAATAAATCAATTTTGGAATTCATGAGCAGGAAAAAATGCACAGTGTTTGACGGAGTCATCAAACCAACAAAATAAAAGAAAGAATAAATCTTACGATTTTCTTGACAAAATCATCATCCAGTGGCCTACCATCCTTACGTTTTTTATGAGTTAATAAGAAAATTTCTGCTCGTGTAGGCTCAATCTCATTTACAACCTAATACAATAAAAATGATATAAGATGTGCGTGACAAAAAAAGGTTTAAAATATTAAGGTTTGTAATTTTCACAAGTTTACCTGCTCATTCATCAAGGTAGCAATACTTTTGGATCCTCCTGTGTGAGGCACTGTTTGCTTTGCCCTATTGTTTCTATTTGCTTGGGTACGTCTCTGTCATTGAAATATTAAAACTATATCTTATAAATCATAAATAAAAATTGAGCATAACTAAAATAAAAACTCTATGAAAATGAATAAACTAGGAGAATTTTCAAGGTTCATACTTTAGCTTTATCAGAAAGCCAATAAGAGACAAGACCACTCCATTGATCCCTCGGTATGTGACTTGGTCTATTTTTTAGTAATGCGTCTTTAGTCTTATATTTTGGCGTATACTCACCCTTTAACTCGCACTTGTAATCTTTCCATTTCTTTCCTAGTGACTTTAAGACCCACGCTTCTCCACATTTTGGGATAGAAAACTTCTTCTAAAAAATAAAAGCCAACATTTAGAAGATAACACCATGTATAAATAGCATGTTCACAAAATAATAATAATAATAATAATAACAACAACAACAACAACAACTTTTCATACCCTCACAAAATCCACTAATTTCTTCTTTTCCTCTTTGTCAAAATTTCTCCAATCATCTACATGTAGAGGTGTTAGCTCTGGAGTTCTGGCAATAATTCCTAGAAAGCTATCAAGCTTTCGACCCTCTTTCCTAATAGCTTAGTTACGATTATTAAACGGCACATCAATTGTTTTCCCCAGCGGAAGTTTCCAAATATCTTTTAGTAAAGTAGGCCCACAAACCTTTTTTGCTTCTGAATTACCTAGAATGAAAAAAATCTGAATAATGTGGTGGCTTCAAGAATTCTAACTCCAGATACTTTAGCATTATTGTGTTGAAAGAGACTACCAAAGCATGAGTATTACTATAAATATCACAATAATGTCAAGGAATTACAATAAAGTTCTCATATTGGAACTGAAGTTAAGGTCGTAGGAAATCAGGCACAACTAACAGAGCTTTTAACTAACAAAGCTCTTAACTATCAGAAGGTTCACCAAGGCCAAAGTAGTCCACTGAAGCATTAGCAAGTGTTTTAGTTAAGAACAAACTCAACCAAATTCACACATACTAGAAAATGAAAGCTATCATCTAATGTTATACATAATCAGATTGCAGTACTATAGAAGCATTACCTGAATCTTCAGCATGTTAAATCTCAGTGTCACCATCAGAACTATTCAACTCATTAGATTGACCATCACGTTCTTGGGCGTCAGAGTAGTTCTGGCTATCCATCAACTATTCAATATATGGTTGGGCTCTAGAATAGTTTTGACCATCCATCAAGTGCTCAATATAAGGTCTCACATCTTCATCTTCATCTTGTTCAACTACCAGTTGGTTGCGACCTCTAGTTTGCATACTTCTTTTTCCAAAATAAAGAAACTATCTAGCTGCATTAAGTTATACTAGTACCAGAACTAATCAACATGTCACACGCAAAATAGGAGGAATCATCGTCCTCATCTCAAGCTGCGAAAAATAAATGAATAGCAATTCGTGCACACAAACAAAGCCTTGCGGCAAAGATAGTTCAAGAGATAAAAGGAATTGATGCACCAGCAAAAACTACTATCCAATTATAATAGCACCTTAGCATATTGCAGTACAAGGGCTACAATCAGCAAAATATAACTAAAAGAAAGCACAAAGAATTCACTTAATTCAACCAAAAATCAACCAATACAAACATAGAAAGTCCATAGCTGACTAACATACATCTTCTATAAAATGGCTCAAATTGAAAGCTAAAGTATATTTATTCAAATTTCCGCATTAAAAAAATCCCTAGAAGTTCTTAAATAACAATTGCAACAAAAATACTCTACAAGTTCTACCTATCTTATTCAGAATCACATTCATTTTTAATGTCATTTTCTCTCTCAACATTAGCTTCACCATCATTTAGAGAAGCTTGAGAATGTACGTTTGTATCAATTACTATCCCATCGACACCACTTCTTACCCAATCATTATACTCATCCTCTGGAACACGAGCATTTTCTAAGAGAGCCAAGTCAGTGGCATCACTTTGCATTGATGACCCAAACTGCAAACTATTTTCCTCTCCCATATTAAAACTATCTCGAGGTTAAATTAACCTAGGGACAAACCATTCATGATCTTTAGGAGCTTGTACAAATATTACTTGTTGAGCTTGTTCTGCAAAAATAAAGGGCTCATGATGTTCTCGATCGCCAGAGTCTGTTAGGCGTGACAAATTCACAAGTGTGAAACCCAAGTCATCTTCCTTAACTCCCATACCTTTGGTTACATCAACCCAATCACACTTAAATAAGACAACCTTAAATTCTTCATGGTAGTTTAATTCCACAATATCATTCAATATGTCATAATATGTGATATTTGCAGACTTTGGAGCATTATCACTTGTGCTTGCATAACTTTCAGTCTTTGAAACGATCATAATACCACTATTTTGTGTCACCTTAAATTCTTCACTTTGCTTCATTCGAAACTGATACCCATTATTTACATCGAACGCATTAAATCTTTTCGAAATATAACTCGGCCCTTGTGCAAGGACTTTAACATCCTTTAAGATGTTAGATGTGACTTCTAACTCCTTTACCTAATCAAATAAAAGATATAACTATAAATGTGGATATATGTACAAGGACAATAATTTAGCCTAACTAATGACTTAGTCCTACTACTTACTTTCTCCTTGAACCACTCGTGAAATGTATCGAAATGCACACGATCAAGTTGATGTTGTGTCAAACGACGCTTACGATGTGATCTCTTGATTTCAGCAATATGTTCCCTATTCATGTAACTCGCATATATTTAATTTGTTATCAAATAAGTAATATACATATAATAAATAATAGATATAACGCTTACTTTTTATAATTCTCAACCACTTCTGACTCACAATTGAAGAGTACATGTCGATGTGCTTGCAACCATATTTTCTCATCCAACTCAAATACATCTACTCCACCGTACGACTCACCAACAATTGGAAAAAGACATTCTTCTTTACTAGTCTCATTCTCAATTTCATCACAGCATTTTCTTGAACAATAAGATCTTGAATCTCCACCCTCCAAATATCGTGAGCAAAATGTCATACACTCATTTGCTATGTATGCTTCTGCTATTGAACCTTCTAGACATGCACGATTATGAACATATGATTTTAAAATACCCAAATACCTATGGAATAAAATAATGGTATTAGTTTGATATAATATTTAACAACTAAAGAAATAATAAAGATTCAGTGATATTATTTATACCTCTCAATTAGGTACATCCAGCAATAATGTACTAGCCCCGCAAGTTTAGCCTCAGTTGCCAAGTGAATTACCAAATGTATCATAATAGTAAAGAATCCTGGGAGGAAAAGTTTCTCCATAGTAGACAATATTTCTGGAATTTTTTCTTCAAGTAACTTCAACTCTTCTAGTTTTAGTTCTTTGCTATAAAAAAAACACGAAAGAATGAGCATAGTCCAATTAAAATGGAACTAACTCTTTTATCTACTGATCTCCACAAGGCAAGAGGAAGGAGTTCTTGCATTATAACATGGCAATCATGAGTTTTTAGTCCAGATATCTTCCGTTTGCGAATGCAACATGAGATATTAGACGCATAGCCATCTGGAAACTTGGAATTTTG